AAACATTTACTGAAACTTATTTAAAAATTTCGGAGCTATGTTTAGACACTGCCTCCAGCTTTCGTGATCGCAGCGCCAGCCCAAAAATTACCGAAAGCTGAGTTCCCTTCATGAGAGAGCCATAGTATCGTGTTCCAGGCTCCCTCCAGTTACAGTTACAGCGAGAATCAGTATCCAGCTGAATACGACTCATCTGTAAAATGCACGGCGCTCCACTGATTGTTTGATTCAAGGCGCACGTTGACTACACCATACTAAATGCGCTTCAGTACTGCAGAGAGCCGTATGTAAACAACGGGGCGTAAACAACGAAACGTAATGAAAGGGTTTACAGCCCTATATGACGAGGTCTTAGAGCAATTGCAGACAGTAAAACTTCGGTTACAGTGGCAGCAAACAGCTTACGTGAGACCTGCGAAAATATAGTAATATTGTCTCGCCGCGCTGAAAGTGCCAAACAACGATCCTCATTTGTCGTTGTAGACCTTAATCGATCTTGTCCAGGCCTTCTCGATATGGGTACAGTGTCCTGAAACTGTACAAACAGCAGATGACAATTGGCCTTACAGTCAGCGCTGTAGCCACCTGTGTTTGTGATTGGCCTGCCTTCAATCAATCGACAATTTTGCGTCTCATTCCTTCAACTATATATTCGTGCTTACTAATATTACATAATACATTATAAAATTTACCCAACTCTTGAATACTGCGAATGTCGCGAAGAAGTATGAGTACACAAATCACCGAAAACCCCTTATGCGCTTATACCCCAGCCATCAATTCCAGGTCAGCATACAAGCACATGTAAGCTTACGTATTCGACTCTGGCTATTTGCATAACTCTCCCAAGAGTGTATATCATACTGTTTTAGTTTATTCTTTATAAGCTTTTCTTTCTCAGGAACTAAGTTTCAGTAGAACCTTGGTTTACGAACAAATGATCTAGTGGTTAAATTTCGCCGGTGTCTGGTATTTTTCAGTTTTTGAGATAAATCGTAGTTTCAACAAAAGCACACCGAAGCCTAACTCAGATGAGCTCCGGTATTCTTTTATGAAGTGGAAACACAGTTTCAGCAGAAAATGTTTTTGGTCTTATAACATTTTATGTTAGTAATAAGTAAGGTTTCGAATTCAAGATTGACTTCTGAATGCATCCTTCTTTTTCCTTGGGAAACAAACTATGGATGGAAGTCGACACATTTAAGGAAAGAAAAACCGCCACACTCATATGAAAACCTTAACTGCCAGGAGCTGTCAACAGCTTGTTTGAGAAAGACTAAATTTCTAGTGGTTATCCTGGTCGTGCCATTATATCCTTTGATTTGTTATCCGCATCTCACTTATTTACAGAATGACGGGGAAGGGAAACAGTTGTTTATATCTAAATACGCTTCAAGTGTTAATGGGTTTAAGATAAGCGGCTCAAATATGTCCAAAACCTAGTGATTTTCAAAGGAAAAAAGTTCCTGTGTACTTTTCGGATCAATGGGATCAAATATGAGAAAGGAAAATAGTCATTTATACATAGTCTGTTAGCTTATCTCTTACAGATCTTAATGCTCTTAGCTTATAGATCATTTCTTGGCTTGGGAGCAATTTTCTCTCGTGACACATTCTGCTTAACACTATAATTACATAGGCAGGTGATTGTGTCAGACAGCATTTGGTTCTTATTTCTTTGATTTCGTAACCACGTTGCTTTGTCAAATGTTCTTCCACATTCTTCTAGTATTTCTAGCATTCTTTCACTCTCATTAGTGACGCGCTAACATTTTAACTTATTTTCATTGGTATGCGAGCAAAAGAATAATTTGTATTCTACCATCTGTTGAAGTATTACGTTATACTCCTTATATTCAAGGCTTAACTTCAGCGGCAGCTTCTTGGAGTCCAGATTGGGTACTCAGTTTTTGAGCGAAATTCTAGTTTTAGCCGAAGCCCCTCTCCTCCTCCCCCAAAAAAGATGACACTCGGTAGCTTATTTCATCATTTAACAATATGCCATTAATTTAATTTTTATAATTAACTTTTGTTTTTATATTTACATTTTATTTAACTTTAATAATTAAACTTCTTAACGTACTTATTTATTTTATGTTATTTTTTTATAACGACCTTGCACTGGCTCGCTTTACATTTCTAGTTTTAGAATTTAAACCCTGAAATTATCTGAAGAAAAAACGCCTCGGATAATGAACAATATTTGTATTTACAAAAACTCAAGTCGGCGATAAATGACTTCCAAAGACTTGTGACTTTAACTTGTGATGCAGAATGAAAGCTCAGGAACTTCTAAAAGCAACATTCTAATATTTTCCGTAGCTTAACAAAGATGGCAACGAATGGACATCAGTTCAGATGGAATTACAGAACATCAATACGAGCCTGGAGGGAATTATAATCATATTGCGTTGCAAGTGTAGATTTTGAAGGCTTTGACACTGAGGACGTTTTTCTTATCTATGATATCGTGTCTCAAGGCAAACCCTGAGCATCGAAGTTAATAGTGAAGACATGGAAGAGTTATTAGAGGATCGCAGAAATTAATTCAACAATAAAAAGCTTGAACATTTTTAGAAGAAGAATAAAAGGAATTATGGAGGAAGTGTCTTTAGAGGAAGAGAAATAATGAGAATATGAGCCTGTTCCTTGATCTGCGAAATCTGTGCAAAATGTGGTACGGTGCATGTAATGATATGACCCTGATAAAGAAACAGTAAATCATTTTCAGTGACACTGGCATGACCGATCATTAAAATATTGTTGCGTTCTTGCACGGGTTCGAGGATTTGGAATAATTGACGACAGCACTTGGTGAAGTATTACAACACAATTTATTTGCCAATATTACTCAGAACAGCTCCCCAAAACACGCTTACAGTCATCGAAAAACTATCACAGGCACGCTGAAACAATCAGCAACACAACCTTCAGACTATCAGGCTATAACGTTGAAGACAGCTTCACGGCAAAGCACTAGAATACAGCTCCCGAGTCGGTTCGAACGTTCTCGGAACTCAACGTACTCTCGAGACTTCAGCCTTCAGGCGATAACGGTGAAGACAGCTTCACGGCAAAACACAGCTTCCGACTCTGTTCGGTTGTTCTCAGAACTCAACGTACTCCCGAGACTCTCCAAGCTACAACTTGCCATGCTCTCAACGATACGCTCTACAGCCTCAACGATCCACACTATCTATACTACAACTCGCAATAGATTCGACGACCAGCTAGACACTAGACTGACGATCAACTCGATAGACTACGAGACACTGGATAGACTCGTGATCGACCAATATACTCTGACAAACACAATAACTGACTCACTGACTATTAACTGACTGCTAATCCGCGTGCAGCAGGTTTATATAGCTTTCGGCTTGCGTTTGAGAACATTCTGGGCCAAACCAGTAAGAATTCGTTCTAGATGGTTCTCCATCCGCCTATGGCATGTCGCCAAATGTTTCACCAAATGAGCAATTTCTCGCCAAATATGGAAACCCTACCTCTCTTTGCTGTTTTATGGCAGCCCTAAACCTGCTTTGCGGGGAAGCTATCTTACCGCAGCTGGAAATTTTGTAATAATATGACCTCTTTTGTCTGTAGGACGATTTCATTTTGAATTGGACTAGTGAGCACTCTTGTAAAAGTGCACGTTTTACATAGCAATGCAAACAATTTTGGAAAAAAAGCAATATACGTAAACAGTGATTGTATATTTAAAAGACAGAGTGTTTCAAAAAGAAACACCCGGTTTAAAAATACATAATTATCCAGTTTTTTTATCCGTTTTGATCGAATAATGTATAGCTAGAAAGAAGGAAATTTCGAGTTTCATGCAGTCGGCGACAATGTAGCGCTAATTCTCTTCCTTCGGCCGTCATTTCAGCGTTTTTGTCTATGCGGCGACTGCGTAACTGAAATCATTTTGTGTTTCTATGCTTCGCGAAATATCAGTCCGTCAACAACTGATCAACCTGAGTTTTGTCGACAATACCCCAATTTTCTACCAACTACCGCTCAGTGCACTAGGCGTTAGTATATACAATCAAAGACACCGATAGAATTTTGAAGGTAGTCGACAGAAACGTTTAACTGAGTATCTTTAATTTAACTTGCAAAAAACATTATGATTAGTCATGTAATATAAAATTAATCTTAAGTTTCTATGTTCAGTATTTTTCATAATATGCGCATTTCAAATCGGGTGATTCTTGTTGAAACAGCCTGTATAATAATGTGATTGTAATGGGATAATAAATTCATAATTAAATAATGAAATCGAAAATTAAATTTTAATTTCGCATATACATATATACACACGTATATTAAAGAATGATTTAAATGAAAAATATGAGTAAATAAAGAATTTATAAGGAATCAGTCACAATGATAGATGAAAGATTAATAAAAATAAATTTTAACATTGCATTTCAAATTCTACTATTTTATCATAGGTATATTATACATATTACTCCATGAATGTAACATACATTTAACTTTTTTTTCTTGAGAAATCTTCCAGATACTTGCAAAAACAACGAGCTGAATACTTAAGACATTGACAACTCCAAACGGACTTACTCAGCTTCTAAAATACAATGACATTATTTTCTTGCCTTATTTTTTAAGGTATTTTAAGCGATCACTACATTTTTTCTTTTAAACTATAGTGCCATTTTCTTTCAGACCTGGCATATTTCGAGTATTATTGCATCTACATTTTTTTGTAAATATCGAGAAACTTATAGCATAAAATGAAAGTTTAATGAAGCAAAGTCTTATAGGCGTTATAATATACATTTACAAGGATTTTGTTCCGGATGTTGCACGGGATGTTGTTGCTGTATAAGAACATCCGAGTCCAAATTATACGCTCAATTCCACAGTTCTCTTCGTTAACGAAAACTTACTTGGCAATTTACGTGTACATTTCATAAAACAGTTTTAGTCTTTATTTAATTTCTTCCGTCTTATAATATCACAGTACTCAGTAAATATTTATTGTCTTTTTTTTTTTTTTTTTTTTTTTTTTTTTTTTTTTTATATGCCGCTTAAGTCAGTTAGTAAAGAAAATGTTTAATCACACGCAATTGGTTGTGATCTGTAAACAAAATATCAGCCTTAACCTTCTTTTCCACCAAGTGGAGAAATCAACACAGTAGGCGATCCCTGGTCAAGGTAACTAACTCATAGTTTGTAGCAAAGAGCGTAGGTTTCATGATACGTGAGCAAGTACCTCGAATAATTTGTCCAGGAAGAGGCTTTGGTGCAGGCGTAGTAGTGACGTTGACGGCTGGCGGTGAAATAATTGGCAGCAGCCATAGTAAATTGCAGTCACATTCTATGAAATTACCTATAAAACAAACAAACAAACATGTAATTCCTTATAATTTACATATTTACTATTTCATTATTAAATTACTTTCATATTTTAACGTACATTTTATTTAAATGAGTATCTTCATCAAGTTGGAAGAAATTGGTAACTAATTAAAAAAGTAATTGGATAAAATCACTAGTCTTTCCTTTGCGTGTTTTATTATCTTATGTGAGTTCTAAGTGGTAGTAACGCCCAGTTGCTTAGATTTCGAAGGAAACTGATATTTGTTTTTGTGTACTTTTTGAAATGAAATTATAAGGTATTTCTCCCTTTTTAGCATGGCTTCGTGTTGTAGTGGTGTGCACGCAGGGCGCGTATTCCAGATGTCCGCGGTTCGATTCCTGGCGAGGGCGTTGCTCATTTTTCATCTCTCCTATTTCCAAAAAATACCTAATATTTCTACAGTGGCGCCCGAACTAGAAAAGGTGGTGGATGACGATTCTCTGCCATCAGGATGTACGATTGGGTCCCCTAATCCCCATTCAACCTTTAAAAGGGAGCCTTCTTAGCGTGCCTTTGTGGTGTAGTGGTCTGCACGCTGGGCGCGTATTCCAGAGCTCCGTGGTTCGATTCCCGGCGAGGGTGTTGCTCATTTTTCATCTCTCCTGTTTCAAAAAATACCTGATGTCTCTGTAAAATCTTCTGCTTAGATATAAGTTTTGTTACTCAATTGAGATTTAATATTTTCTAATATCCATACAACAAACGTATAAATTTCTTTATTTTGAAGATAAAAATTTAGTTCAAGATTATCGCCGTATTAATTTAATGACAAAAACACGGAAAGAGAGAAGAATCAAAAGGTATAATTCTATTTTAAGAAAACTGCCCGTCCAACTTAATATTGAATGTAACATATTAGCTAGAACGATGATCCTGAGTCCAAAGAAAAGTGTTAATTCTGCTCTCTGATTTCAGAATCACTACTAGTGGCTTGCTGAAAACAAGTAAAAGGACTCCTTAACATCTAAGCAGCATAAGAAATAGCAGAGATTTATTCTCTCAGTGGAGAGCGGCAACCGAAAAAGAAATGGTGTTTTTGCTGTTCTTGCTAATATTCACTTGTCTTACCTAAAGTCAGCCCCAGCCCACGAAATTCCTCCAAGGAGCGCAAGTTTGCGCCTGTCGTTGGCAACAGCCTTTAGTACCATACAGATGACAGTGCAATTTGGCTCATTTTCGCCCCCGGACGGGTACGAGGGTCTTCCACCTCCCCTTCCCCTATCCCAAACCTCTCGAGAGGTCTTTCGACTCGCCGCATATTTAAAGTGCCCCCCATACCGCACGAACACTATACCTTTACAAACATCCATGTCTTTTTCGGGATTCGAATCCGGGCTCTTCGGCACGGCAGTCAGCGACGCTAACCGCAATACCGGTTGTATGGCAACGAAAAAAATTGTCGTATCAAATAAACCGCAAGAAACAGTTTCGCAACTTTAAAAAGTATTTAAAAAAGAGAATTTATAAGAGACTACTTGGAATTAAAACACAAAGATATAAACCAAGGTTTCAAGCAAAAACTGGGTGAGGAATCATAATGCTAGTAATTTACAGAACATTCAAACGAAATTCTTAAGAATTCCATTGCAGACATACGGCGGAGAAATCCAATTACTTAATTAGTACAAATAACTTTTTTGTCACTACAAGGAAAAGTTTACCTATGAGGACTTTTCAGTAATTATATTCAGTTAGGCTATGAATTTTCTTGAGAAAAATCAAAATACATCCTGAAACATTGCTTTACAGATTGCTTAGTGTTAATTAAAATATGACAAATTATAAGGTTTCGAGAATATGACATCTTTAGGAAAAAAAAAAAAAAAAAAACCTGAGCTGTGGGAATTTAAATGAAGTCCTGATTTACGTTTTTACAAATATTTCTTTTTATTTGAATATAACAGGCTACGCATAGATACAGCTTTATAAGAAATTTTACATTCTTCTCGAAACCAATGGAAACAATCACTTTCCACTAATGATATTCAACAGAGAAGATCAGTTTTTTTTGGATAGGTTAGGTAATTACCGCAAAGCCTCGAGGGCTGTGTGCCTAAGGGAAGGGGTGCCTTCGTGGAGGACTTTCTAAGGAAAACTGGCTCGTGTACAGGTTACACATGGGGAAAACCACGAAAACACCCACGCAGCCAGCCCGTTCGCGGGATTCGAACCTCGGACCGAACTACCAGCGTTCAGCGACTTAACTGAGCCCACCGCTCGGCCGCTGGTGGGCTCAGTTTTTTAGAAAAAGGTGTGTAATGTTACATTATGTTAATCTAAGTAGTTATTATAATTTAGATCTTTACTGTAACTTTTCTCTTCCGCTTCCCTACCAAAATGCAAATCAGGTCAAATGTATTTAAGGTGAGGTTGTTGGATTTGAGCATGTTTCTGCCTTTCGAGGATACGCTACTAAGTTTATGCTAACTCAACTGCATTCTTCGGCTTTACATTACAGTTGCCGAAATTTAAATTGTTACCCTGGTGAGAAGTTTGAGCCAACTTCGCGTTAATTCGATTGTGTAGCCTTCGGCTACTAGTCTTAGTTTTAAATCTTAAATTTGACTGTTATTTTGAGTTTCATCTCTACGAGTTGTGGTGGCTTATGTGAGCGCAAGAATTGCCTTACTAGTCAAAGAACATTATGTTTTATAGGTTTCAAGGACGAAACATGGTAATAAAGAAAGACATGTGTTTGCGTGCTCTTTTGATACTACAATAACAGTGCACGTTTAATAATTAAAATATGAATGATCTATGAAAAAATACGGGAAGTTTAAAAATTAACGAGGAGTAAAGTTTGGTAATTGCCGGTGAAAACAAAACTGATTAAAATCATATCACGAAGCTTTATTTTTCATTTAATGAAACAATCCTAGTAGAAAATCTGGTCAGAAACAATTGAAAAAATTCTTTAAATTAATTTCCCTATTTTATTCATTTATGTCAAATTTACATAACACACTTCGGAGAAGATAAAAGCTGCATTATTTTGCAGATGCAGCACCCTCTCTTTACCATACAGTTGTGATTAGCTGTTCTCATCATTCATCGCAAACACGAAAAATTCTTGAAGAGGCTTCCAAAGAGAAGTTGGCCCATTCAGTAAATATTGGTAATGCTGTAAATTATTCAAAGTTTGAGAATTTTAGCCGAAGAATCCTTAAAATAACCCTTAAATAAGTTATAAATCGAATCAATGAAAATTGCTTCCTTGTCTATTTCTAACGAATAAAAACTGATAGAATTTAAATCTTTATCATATTGTTACGAAATGTACAGGCGTGGTGGGATGGCTTCCCCGCAATAAAATAGCAAGGGAAGGCAAGGTTGCACATTTGGCGTGAAATCGCCCATTCGGCGATATTTGGCGACAAAATTGGCGATATACCATGGACGGATGGAGAACCTTCTGGAACGAATTCTTACCGGTTTAGCCCAGAATGTTCTCGAACACAAGCCGAAAGCTATATAAACCCTGCTGGTCCGCAGTTAGTCAGTGTGTGTCTCTCATTGAAAGTGTGTCTCGTCTAGCTAGTCAATCCCTGCGAAGTCGATCGAGTTGACAGCCGGGCAGGGAGTGCCGAGTGGTTCGTCGAGTGCACCGAAGGAGTCTGTTAGTGTATCGCGGTTAGTGCATCGTCGAGAGAGCGTGCTGAGCTCCGGGAACGACTGAACCGAAGAGTCGGGAGCCGTGCTCTGTGTGTCATCGAGTGCATCGCGAGTTATAGCGTGGAGAGCCTCGAGAGTACGTGGAGTTCCGAGAACGACCAAGCAGGGTCGGGAGCTGTACTCCGGAAAGCAGAGTCGGGTGCTTTGCAGGAAGCTGTCTCCACCATTATTGCCTGACAGTGTGAAGCTGTGTCGCTGATTGTGTCAGTGTGTCTGTAGTAGTTCTTCGACTACTGTAACGTGATTTTGGAGTTGTTCTGATTAATACCGGCCAATAAAGTGTGTTTCGATGCTTCGTCAAGTGTCGTCGTTATTCACTCCAAATCCGCACGAACCCTGTACGAACGTAAAGGAAGAAAATAACGTAACAAGTGGTGTCAGAAAAAGAATAACGTAACGATATCATCGCTCCCCTTATACCTTGAGGAAGATGATGTCTTAAATGAGACTATTAGCTTTACTTCTCTATGGTGTTTTAAATGAGGTCATTAGCTTTATTTTAGGACAGAATAATACTAGTTTTAATCTAATTATCCCCCCATTTAAAAAATTTTCAAGGATATTGCAACTTTTCCTTTTAAGTAAAATTGCAGTAAGTTGTTCATATTTCGGGTATAATTCATGGATCCGCTTAAGAAGTAATAGCGGCACAAACCTGATTAAAGATTTTGTTGGAGCATTTTCTTTTTGATTTACCGCATAAAAAATAAATAAAACACATTTGATTTTCTCCTTCATTGGACTACGAGAGAAGTTTTGACAGCAAAAATATTAGCGTTATATGTTTCAAACTTCTGCTTGAATGCTATGCGAATTTACTAACTTGCTGGATTTGCATCAAGAAATACATTACTATTCTATTATTCCTGTAAACATGAAGCAAAATTTAAAACGAATGAGCAACAGACGAATAAACTTTTAGCAACTTGCTATCATCTCTGTATCTAATGACGAAGTGCAGAATTTCTTTACCTGTAATATCCAAATATGTTAGCATCTTCCAGATAGCTGCCCATGGTTTTTCTGGCATCGAATATAGAAAATTCTTCTCTAAATTAACCTTTTTCAGAGCTGGCATGTTGATAAAAAAGTCAGCTGGTAACACAGTGAGTGAGTTCCAGCTGCAAGCAGATAAATAAAATAAAACGAATGATCAATCATAAATAATAAATAAATAAATATAAACAAGGCAAAAAATACTAGTAATAAATGATTTTGCAAAAGTGTAAATGTAGAAATACAGTTAAAATTTTATAGCATAATTCATATTTCGAAATACGATTTGTCATTCTACTAATTTTGCTTGCTAATTCGAATTTAAAAGTGTATTTAACAAAGCATGTAAAAATTCAAATTTTCACTGAAATCAAATTAATGTACTCACCTTAAATCAATGTGCTCCAGGCTTCTCGCAGGTGAAGCGAAAATGGCTCTCAAAATGGATTCCAGGAGGTTGTGTGATAGATTTACTTGTTTCAGAAACGGTGAATAATGGAAAGTGCTACTTTCGATACTTTGAATACTGTTATGGGACAGATCAACGGAAGTTAAATTTGTGGGAGGATATCGAAAAGCTGTAGCCGTAATTACGGTCAAGTGATTGTAGGTCAGGTCTATCCCTTCAATTCGGGGAAGAGAATTCAGGCCCCGAGTGTTGACAGTTCCGGCCGTTTCATAAGTAAGAGCACCGGTGAGGTAACAGCGAGTTGCCGTAAACCAAAGAAGACTCTGGGCTTGTCCTTCGAAAGGATTGCCATACCAGATGAAATCTCCCGACAGTACGGAATCACGAACCTACGAGAAATAAAATTTATATGTGATAGTTTTACAAAAAAATAATTCAGATCAATATATATATTTCACATTCAATAGCACCAAAATACAGCTGTGAAGGCATTTATGCATTTGGTTGAAAGCTCAATTTGTTATTGTATCCTAACCGCAAATTTGAGCCCCCTCCCGAAAAAAAAAAGTTCCAGAAAAGTCTTTATACCCAAAAACGAAGTCAGTGAAAAATGTACAAATATAAAATTAACAAATGGCTTTATTTTCGGCCATGCTGATATAATATATGGTGCTTTTACATCTTCTGGCCTTCCTTATTACCTGTACTTGCGCTATTTTTGCCTTTGCCGTGTGTTATGTTTCGTTATTATAACACACGGCAAAGGCAAAAACAGATACAGCAAGGAATCTCAGTTTTCTTGCATATGATTCTTAAAGTTAAGATTTCAGACATTTATACGATGAATTAAGTATTATGTATTTTTTTACATATTTCTTATATTTTAAAAAGGCTTATATTATTAAGCCTTTTTTCTAAAAATTAAATGAATAAAACTGAACACTTTAATTTACGCAGCTTTGTTTCTGAAGTCATGACGTTTAAAAGGCATTTTTCATATGAATGTTTCGTTGGCAATGTTGAACAGCCCACTATTAGAACAGCACACTATTAGAACAGCACACTACATCCAGAATTTACCAATCATAATAAAAGAAAAGGGGATCATTATTCATAATACATCTGATGAATACAAAAAGAACTTTACTGCAACTAAACTCTTTTGCTGGAAGTCAGAATTATTTGATCAGCAGTTTCATTTATTTGATCACTTAAAGTCTTCATGTAAAGAAAATAAACTATGAATGAAAAAAAGAAGTTTACAGGATTTTTATCACGCATTGTTTTACAAAAAGAAAATTAATAAATAAAAAAACTTGAATCCAAGTACTTTTTTCTTCACTTTGCACGTTATGATTTTCACTAGTTCTTAAACTGAACTTCAGTAACATTCTACGTAAAAATTAATTGTATGAAAAATTTTTAAATACAGTTGAGAAGTAAAAATACATATAAATTGAAAACGAAAAACCTAGAAAAACCATTTCGATGCAATGAATGCATGCTTTTTCTTCCTACCCTTAAGTGCTTTGGAGCGTTAACGTCAATGAACGTAGTGTTTCAATTTGACGTAGATAAATTAAAAATACTTGGAGTTTTATTAATGACATGTAAATTTTATATTCAGAAATATTTTTTTTTACTTATCCATTATGTATAATGTGTAATTAGTAGACATAAAAAGTATATTTCTGTGTTAAATAAAACTCTAACTTTCTGAGCTAGAGTCAACTCAAAAATGCAACACGTTAGACAAGCCTATTATAATGTGCGAACTGTGCGAACGTAAATAACCATGACGTCAAAAGCTGAAACTGCAAGCCGACGAAGGTCATCAACCCTACCGTACGGTTTACGATTAAAATCCTGGGAAACGTTAAACTTAAGTTTTTGTAGGATTATTAATTTCCATTCTGAAAATAAAGTACTGCCACGTACACAATAGTTTTGGGACTAAACACATAAAAATGACGATTTAAGATATAAGAGAAAAATCTTATTATTCATCTATATATCTTCTAGTCCTTTTTCCGTGTATCATAGAGTTTCTAGATGTTTTCTAAAATCGTAATTAAATCGATAGTCTAAAATCGTAATTTCTATAATCGATGTAATTATTAGAATGTTTTTTTTTTTTTTATCCTTTGCATTTCATTATTTCTGAAATGTTTTCTGCAATGAGCGATTTCACTATAAGGAGCACAAAGTAATCCGCAGATTCTAGTTCAGTTAAGTGAAAGAAGAGATTAGGGAGAATAGTATTTTTTTTTTTTTTTTTTTTTTTTTTTTTTTTTTTTCTTTGCAATAAACAACTTGATGGTAATTGCATTTTGCCAAGGGATGGCATGAGGCAGTTTTCTCAACCTGGCTGCCTGCGTACGGCCCGCGAATGACATTAAATAGTATACCAATAATTTGTAGTAAGATTTAAGATTTTAATGACTTTTAATACAATTCCCCATTATTTTCATTACCATTAAGAACGGACGTAGTTAATGCCCAGAAAATTTACAGATGGAGCTAATTAATTTACACTGTGATATAAATATTTTCCAAGATCTAAAGAAAAAGATCTGATTTCAAAAGATTCGAAGATACAGATTTGAAACTTTTTTCCTACTTTTCAAGAGATAGTTAGTTACCTTTAGTTATGAATTTTTGCAATAAGAATAGTCTCTTTGTTTGGGAATACATTTGTATATAAACATTTTTTCGACAATTGAAAATTAGTCAGTCTAAGAAAGCCGATGAGCAAGTGCAATTCGTCATAAAGATAGTTCTAGTAATTTTTCTCCAGCATTACAAACTTTATCAAAACTGAAACGTTATGAAGTGCTGAAAGTTGTAACAATAAATAAAAAAAAATAATACTTACATGCAAATATATGTATGTTTCTCACATGCGTCAAAGAAAAATTTAATAAATAAAAAGAAAGATAATAGGTTGTTATTATTTAACCTTAAGTTTTGTCCCAATTGGAAAGTTTTCAGATTTGCTTAGCTTAAGTTAAAACTATTTTATTATTGGTTAATTCTGCATATTAGAATTATTTAAAATAAATATTTGATTTAAATTTAATATTTATCTATCAATACCTTTGGGTTACAAAATAAAATCATCAGAAATTTCTTGCAGATACCAGCTTTTAGATTATAAGGTATTTCTCTTGCCTTCTTAGCGAGCCTTCGTGGTGTAGTGGGTCTGCATGTCTAGCACGTCCGCGGTTCGATTCCCGGCGAAGGCGTTGCTAATTTTTCATCTTCTCTGCTTTCTAAAAATAACCCAGTATCTCTACTAGGTTTCAGAGAGAAAGTAAATATAAATTGAATTTTGCTTTCCCTACGTCATTATCATTACTGCTTATGCGCATTTTTAGAAATATTCAGAGAATAAAATTTTAAATAACGAATTTGTTTTGTTAAAAAAATTTCATTTTGGTAAAGTAAATAAATAAAAATAAAATAAAAACAAATAAATGAAATAAAATAAATTTGCCCATCAGATCTTTCAGATCGCGCATTCGGCCTGCATGCAGTTTGAATTTGAAACCACGGGCATAAAAAACTAGTGTCAATCAAACGAGAAGATGTTTTACTACGCTAACGGCGAGCTTTTATCAAGGATAATCTGTGAAATCTTACCAGAATATGCAGTTTACTAGTAATTCACCAACAATTTTCTTATGAAATTACATTTTTTTTCAATCATTTGTCAGCATCTGCCGAGTCGTTGCGAAATAATTGACTCCAGTAGGAAAAGTATTATAGCGTGTGTTGATGCTTGATTTTCATAGGATGTACACACAAATTCAGAAGTGCCCGTTATTGTTTTCTCAGCTTTTAGCATAAAAGATTTATTTTGCCTTGTTGCTCTGATTATGAATCTACAGCTGAAGTTACCAAACGTCCAAGGTTAAGTAAAAAAAAAATCCCATTTAAACTTTCTCTCAGTGAGCAGAAATATTAAAAAGACAAGCTGAGGTTACAAGTACTAATTGCCTTCGGTTCAGATTGTAAAGCTTTTGCCCCTGCTCATCGCGTAACTTCGTAATTGGGAAGTATATCCGCTAGCAATCACAAAGTTTGGAGTTTGAATCCCGGCGAGAGAGAGAGCGTTGCTGATTTTTCACGTTTCCAGACTTCAGAAAGTTCTCAAAATGACTCTACAAAGTAACGGAATTCCGTATATCTAGAATAACGATCATTGGAGTTCTGCTATGTTTAAGGTCACAAATGATAATACTGTTGCCTCTGTCATTTTCTATCATGCTGAGTGCGGCAGTTGCTGAGACACGCACTTCCAGGGAAAGAAAACAATTTCAGATTTTAATTAATTTTTACACATACTTAGATACAATAGTGTGGTTTAGTGAGATTAAGATTTCGGCAAAGCATACTAGGGCTGTCTGCCTAAGGGAATGGATGCCTTCATGGAGGACGTTTTAAGGGAAACTGGCTCTTATAAACGTTACACATGGGGAAAACCGCAAAACGCCCATGCAGCCAGCCTGTTCGCCTGGAATCAAACCCAGGTTGGAACAACTAGTGTTCAACGATTTTAATGCTCAGCCGCTGGTGGGCTAAATAAATAGTATGTGTTAGTATGTGTAAAAATTTTAAACATTTAAAAAATTTTTATTAAAATTTGTGACTAATGAATTTTTAACAAAATATTCATTATTTTTATTACTAGTTAGGTCAGAAGATAACATAATTTCAGAGCACTAACCTCAAACTGTTTGACGCGCACGTTCTTGAGCCAGCTTTTTGGTAATCTGGCAAGAGTATGCTCATTTTTTGGTGGGACATTGGTAACGATTAGTTTGTCCACCCATTTTCTGTTCAGAGCGGTGGCGACAGCTTCCTCCAAAGCAACCAAAGATTTTGAAACTTTACAGTCCACTATCGTATAAAATGCTGTATTGTTTGGATGCTCCGGAAATGGAGTTTCGGCAGTCTTCACAGATCTCTGAGGTCTTAGGGGAACTAATGTAGTTACATTAATTAAAGGCTCAGAAGCAATTTCTATTGGCTTGCGAGTGCAAGTACAGTGAGGAAGCTCCCCCTTTGGTGGACAAGGATCACCTGCCCAACTTGCTGTAGAATGCACAAGAATGATAACTGAAAAAAAAAAAAAAAAAAAAAGAAACCATTTTAGATAAACATTTAATATGAAAGAATGCAGATACACGTATCCTTTATTTATATAGAGATTTCATAATTTGAAGAATAATGACTAATAATTCATTTCATAATTTGAAGAAAACAAAGCACACTCAAGTTTTTTAATAAAATAAATAGCGATTTTATAAAATGTATATAAAAATGACTTTTATTTTATATGCAGTGCAAAACAATACAGGGATAGGACTGAAAAGATCTGAATTTTTATCCTAAGCGGTGTAGCATCAAACTTGTGAAAAAAAACAGTTTTGGTTCACTTAACTAAGCAATTTTTTGTGTATGGTAGGTTTCTTTATATGTAAGATGTTCATAGAAGATTATGATGATTTAGATATAGTATGATGATTTAGATGTACGATTGAATATTTTAATCCTACTGAAATTCTAGCACATTACTTTTACTGTATTTATGAACCGTAAGTTTTAATATTTTAAGTTAATGCTAATAGTTTCCTTTCAACTTCTCTTAATACTACTACTGGAGAGATTTCGAAGTGACCTATTGCTTGTGAAACAGCACAAGCACTTTAAAACAGAGATAGTGAATATGCTTCAAGGTAATCATTTTTTTCGTAGGCCAGTCGGGGACATACATCCATCAATCAACCCCCCCAAAAATTAAAATCAATAAATAAATGAAAGCGAAACATACAAATACAATAAACAATTAATTAAAACTATAAATAATTCATTCAAATGATTAGCTGTGTTTTGAAACAAAATAATAAAAATTTAATAAATAAAATAACTAATCCATCTCAATTTTCAATTTGTTCTTTGAAATCTTCGCAAGTATTGCACTCGAAATTGCTCTTAGTTATAGACATTGCCTTGACGGTATCAGCGTTTAACTGAGTTTTTTTTTTTTTTTTTTTTTTTTTTTTTTTTTTTTTTTTTGAGGGGGGGGGGTTTGTTTTTGTTTTGTTATCTACAAATTATTTATAACAGGAAATACCCTTTTAACATCTGCATTGGTATCAGGTAAACAAAGCGCGAATTTTAGAATTTTTGTTAAATGTGATTCTCATTTGTGAAATATGATTATATGACAAAGAATAAGATTTTCAATAAAAAAAATTAAAAATTGAATCCAACGCTTATCGGTAGGTGTTTTTCCATTATTCCATTGTTGAATTTTGTTCAAAGTTTATATATCTTTTCAAATAGGATATTTCATCGAATCTATTCCCAATGCCACCTATTCGATTTCAGGCAGCTATTTTTCCATGAAACAGTCTGAAAGAAAGTTAGTGAAGTGCTACTATGTAAAACTTCATGGCGATGCAAATTTCAGAAGAAGGCTAATTTTACAGATATTGAATAAACATTGTGATCATGAATTACGAAAATAAATCAGTAATTAGCTTTAAATTTGCTAAAAAAATCTTCTGACTTCAATAGCGTAAAAGGAAAGTAAGTCAATGTTCGTTGTTTTTGATTATTAAAGGCAGTTTAATCGACATTTATATTTCATGAATATTTAAATAAAATATTCGGTAAAAGTATATGAAAAAAGTATTTAGTTATTTTTTTAACTAAAAATAACCTAGTTTCCTTAAATAAACTTAGCGGTACAGTAACTGGATACTAATGTATAAAGGAATTAATTTTTTCGAAGAAAAATATTTGTCAAATTTGACAAAATCGTCGACAATCTAAATATTGTTACGAATTTTGTATATATGTAAATAATTTTAGTGAAATCGTATGTGAATTGTAGTATTTCTTGCATAATGTAATATGAAATGTTTGAAAAAAAAACGATGCTGTGCCGGAAAAATTAAATTACAGGGGCAAGTCTATTTTTAACATTGAGGTAAATCGCTATCTCGCCAATTTAGCGAGGTATCGCCAAGGCTGGCGTTGGATTTGGCGACTAATTTTGTCGCCAAATTTGGTAAGAAATAGCTAAAATTCGCCAAACTTGGCGACATTTTGGTCTGGTTCGTGTATAAAAGTAATTGGTATTGTGGCTGAATAAATGTAATTGATCTCCATATATAACTGCAACCGTATCCGGCCCGAAGTATGCCTTCCAGTAATTTCGAGAATTGGAGGTCCTAGAGATTTCTCGGTGGCTGGGGGAAAACTATATAAAACCGAAGAGAGCATCAGTTTCTGAATTGTTCAGTTTAGCGTGAGTCGGTGTATTGAGATATCTCCATGTGAGCTTCGGTCTTTAGATGCGCTTTGCATTGATTGTGTTTAACGTTCTTAGTAGTTTGAAGCATAACTACTGAGTAGTTTGACTATTAACTGTTCTTAGTAGTTTGAAATATACTCTGTGATACTGTGAAGAGCTGTTGCAGCATTTTGTAGAATGTTCCAGAATTTGAAGTGTTTCTGTTGGTGAAATACATTTTATCAATCTCTCACCGGTTCTGCGTGCATTCAATCTATTACGAACCCGTAAGCACGCAACAATATTTTAAGTGTAATATTTTTCATCTAAATTTGAAAAAGTTGAATTTCATCTAAATGACTTGCGTTCCTGCCTAAGATTTCTCCATGAAAAATTTGTACAAATTCTAATACAGTACAGAAGATACTTCTTCTTTTTAATTTTTTTTTAATATCATTCCATTCAGTGAAGACGAAATGCGTTTACAAGTATAGTGAGATATGAGTTAATTTCATATGAATTTTGCATTTTGTTTTTATTTCGGTTTTAGCGTAAACCACTATTATGATTTTAGCTCTATAAAACTAACAGCTTTAAATATAACTCAGTATAACAATTCATGCGCTGTAGAAAGCAAAGTGCATAAAATAATCTCAAAGAATAGTCTCAAAGATCTTTTTCCAAGGGAAGGGGAGGAAAAAAAAGTCCCAAAAGAATTTAGCTCACCGAAGGAAAACAATTTTTTAATTCTCTTTCGGAAGAGAATAAGAGGAAGGGAAAAAAAAAAAAAAAAAAAAAAATGAGATACTCTAAAATTACCTCCGCTGTTTTCTTTTAAACTTTAAAAATAACTTAGTACAGGTTTTAAAAAGCTGGACTGTTTTTTTTTCTTTCAGATTTGCAGTAAAAGAAATTAACGTAATTGATACAACTTCGCTTTTCTGTATTTAATCTGCGGGAAAATTTATGGTCGGCAGAGTGCTATATAATTAGAACAAATAGCACAAAAGGAATCAATGCTTCAAATGAATTAATAATAGATCATGAATTTAATACATCTAGAATGAAAGTAAAACTCTAGTTATTCAAAGTAATGAGTAACTATGGTATCTGGGATAAATAGCGAATTAAATGCTACAATGAAAATACACTTTCGTATTTCTCTGCGGGGGGGGGGAAGACCATCACTTTTGATACAACTATTATTTACAACAATTTTAAGAATAAAATTGTGCATACATTGTTGCCGTTGATATGAATCAAAATTTGGGAAAGGAGTTTGGAAGAGAAGCATACATGTCATGAACGTAATAGTTAAACGAAAGCTTGTAGTAAGAATGGCTTGTAGCTTTTATCCGTCAGGTTATTGGAAACCTGACAGATTAAAAAATTGAATGTTCACGGAATTAAGGAAGATTTGGACTTAAAATCTTATATCAAAAGGTAGCTTTTAAAAATGAAAAAAAAAAAAAAAAAAGAAGTCTGAGAAAGAACCTTAAAATTTTCAAACAATTTAAATTCAGATTATGAACAGTACATTGTGTTTGATCCTAATCTCAGGAGTAACACTAAGTGTTATTTTTCAACATTCAGTGTGTTTGTGCACTGCTCAAAAAAAAAAAAAAAAAAAAAAAATGGGACAGTCCTATATCTCCCGATCTACTGGGCCGATTGACAAAAATTCAAATTGCGTTCTTCATGTCTCGAAAGCGCGACTTAGGATATATATTAGATTTATATATAGCACTATTCATAACTAACATAGGTATTTTGACACAAAATCGGACTTTTTCTGAAATAACATACCAATTTTTTTTACATATTTCGATTCTACGACTCAAATTACGCCTAAATATGAAATTTTGTAAAATTTGGAGCGAAATTTACGGAGAAATTCACAAATTTATGTTGGCACTTTTTTGTCAGTTTGCGCCAAGAATTCTTTACTTGGCGAACTTCTTAATATATGGCAACCTAGTTTCCTTTCCCATGAGAGGAAAAAAAGTCACCATCGTTCCTTTTTTCCAAATAATATTCTTTATATTATATTTTTAATTATAACTTATTATTTTAAGTAATTTTTTCTTTTTCGAATTTCATTTTAATTGTTTAAGTTGCACTTTTTTTTTTTTTTTTTTTCCGAATAACTGTTTTAAAAATTTCCATTTACCTATTCGAACTGCGGAAATAAAGGTGCAGCGTTCATTTATTTTTATTTATTTTTTTTTTCAAATAGTTTTCTTTATATATATTTTTCGTCATAGTTTTTATTTTAGGTCATTTTTAAATTTTTATACTTTTATTTTAATTGTTTGTGTTGCATTGTCTCTTCAGATAATTGTTTTAAAATTTTCTATTTATTCCTTCAAACTGAGCATTTTAAATATATTTATTAATATCAATTTTCCAGAATTTGATTTTATTTATTTGAACTGCGTTTCTTTCGGAAAAATTCTTTGTAACACAGAGACTACGATGCGTTTGAAAACTGCATACTATATTAAAAGAGAAAATACAGTAAAGTACAGTTTTACACGCCTTTCAATGTTCCGTTCAGAAAAAATATATATAAATAAGAGAGATCTATAACTGATATTTTAACTTAGGATGACTTGTATACACTGCTTTAAACAGTTTTATCATTGCCAACCCCCCCCCCCCCCCCCCCCCCCCCCCCCCCCCCCCCCCCTCCCCCCCCCCCCCCCCCCCCCCCCCACCCACCCCCCCCCCCCCCCCCCCCCCCCCCCCCCCCCCCCCCCCCTTGCTTTACACAATTTTATCCTACATTTGGTTTCTTAAAATGTTATTCATATTT